AATACATTGTAATCATAAATTAATTATGTATACAATATATATATATATATATATATATATATACACGCATTAAAAGTTATTTTCACTATTATGCAATAGCCCGTATAAATATATATACTTTGATTGTAGTTGCGGCTAAATTTGTTTTCATACAGGAGCATCCTTGGGTGTTTATTACATATTTTTGCTTAATGCATGCTTGCAGGCGCGTGCACGTCAAGTATCGTGCGTGACCAATTTTGTCCGTTATAATTCTTTCTTGTGCGTATAGTATTGGTAGACCAGGTGTTTCCAAGTTCTAATTACGTGTGATTTGGTAGGAGTGCTGATTCATTAATGTATGTTTCGGTTAGCGTTAGCGTGTTTGTCTGGTCTATCAGTATTGGCATTGTGTTTAATGTATGTTTTTGTTCTTCATTCTGAGAGTGATTGTCGGCAGCATCTTTATGCTTCTTGCGCAGATCTGATCACGCTTGTGCTGTACACATCCTTGTTGTATTTCCATCCTTCAGCTCCCACGAGCCTATTCCCTGTGATCTAGTCGTACATCCTATTATCCTATAGTGGTGTTTTGTTCATGGAGTGTCCACTTTCACTTCACCTAATCTTAATACTTTCAATGATGGTTTGTATTGCAGTTGCTCCCGAGAATCCTAATTACACACAATGTGTCACTTCGGCACGCATTGTATGTCCGCTGTGGGGCTGGTCGAAACCAGTGGAGGGTGTAGGGATCGAAAAGTTCAAGGCCAATGTTCACAAGGTGGGTGGGGTGTGATCTTCACGTGTAATATCATTTCTTTTCATTGCGTATCGTGCATGCTACAAGTAAAAGTTCACTCAGGGCGATTTTAATTGAAGTCTTTTTCATTGTCAATTGTGTGTGGATATGCATGTGGACGAATATCACCTGCACAGAGGGTACATATTTTTCACGATTACCAATCAAACTGGAATATACCCTCACAGGCGAGAGACGCTCTGGAACATGTTCTACACGCAATTAAGAGTCCGAAACGGTTGCTTATGGAGACAACGGCAGCAAATGCGCCAAAGAATGCAGCGATCCCCGCAGATGACTAAAGCGAATTTTCTGTACTGTAATTTACATAGTCAAGGTTTAAATGGGATTAGAATGCCCCGTAGCTACAATGTAGATAGCAGGAGGGCGAGCTTATTGATCCGACGAAAATTGGGAATCGATAGAAAGCTAATGGTTGCCAGCCCAAAATTGTTAGTGATAGATGGCCGAGGCATCACAGTGCTATATATAGATTGCGCGTGGGGTCAAGGACTGGTCGATCGATAATTGGAGATTGCAGATGACAAAAGGCAGAAGTGTCGTATTCCGTTGAAATTTAGAACGACAGGTCAATACTGCCCAGCTATCTATGATGTGGCCAGGAGTCTCAATTCGTTGCCCCAACGACTGCTTCCGTTTTGTTCCCCCCTTCGCTTCAGCACGAAGAATGCATCTCACGGACTGCCAGGATCGATATGCATTTAAGTTTTTGAGAACTCGTCAGTGTGTCTGCTCAGTGATACACGAGGGCATCTGCCCGTTCCAGCCGAATGACGCGCGTGGTCTGCTGAGTCACGCTTGCGGAATCAGTAATATAGTACATACTTTTATACAAACCAACTCAAAATAAATAATATCAGAAGAAATTTACTTTTTAGCACCTCGATTTCGAGTTCAACCTACAATTCTAGATTTGATGCTGGCTTACTAAACACAGTTGCCTTTTCAGTTTAACATGTACAATTTCAAGTTCGATGCTGGCTTACTTAACACATAATCATGAATTTGAAATTACTGATTATTTAACAAAGAGCTATATATGATGACAACAAACTAAATTCCATCCCATTGTGCAGCGTCTGCCACAAAATATCAGGAACGGCAGCACACAGTGAAAACACAAGAAAGCCCATACTCGTATTATGGACTCTCAAATACACACATTCTGGGCAGGTCGAATACGTACTATACTACTAAATGTGTTCAGGATGATTCTGGGAGCGCTTGTATCGAATAAGTATATCAATATCACCGAGCCAGATGTACACTGTAGCGAGGAGCACAAAGTCGGGCCATGCAAGATTTCGACGACTATATTAAAACGCGTAAATGTACGTAATGTGAAGGCCATATTGGTGAGCCCTGTCGCTATAGCGGAATTATTTAAATCCGCCCACCAATCGCCGAATTCTCCTTCGACTGCGCGGGTCTTATATGACAACCATGCAAGGGAATCTTAACCGTCAGAGAGATTACAAATCCATTTAAAACGAACCGATCGAAAGTCGTTGAAATTGAAGTAGGTGACTTACTACTTTGCATTAGAATTCACGAATTCATAACCAGTAAGACGGCTGTCCAACTGAGAAAGTTTTCACAAGGAACAGAGTTGTTATTATATCATTAGAAACCAGATATATCCGCCTGATGCCGCTAGTGGAGTAAATATTGATACATTCCATATTTTCGGCAATCAATTTGTACAGTAGATACTGCCGAGCAATGACAGCCGAAAGGAACGACATCCCTAGTAGCGAGGTGATATTATTGACCAGTATCAATACATAGTGTGGTCCGAGTCCGTTTTTGGATTTGCAGGGTCTTCATTGTATAAGTGCACGTGTATATGTATACGTGTGTAGTGTATATAACGATCACCATTATCGGGGCCCTATGCAAATTCATTTGCTACTTCTATTCGTGGCATGTACATTCACACTGCCGATACGCATTTTCTTTGTACTATTTCGGGTTTTATTATGCATGCGACTATATACAGCTTATCCTTGATACTCTTTGACACTACTGCTGACCAAAGTTGAATTGCATCTCAGTTTCCTGCTCGTTTCGAACTCGCCGTACACATCACTGAAGCCTGGTTGTTACTTTCTGGATATTACTACTAGTCCTGCTATTATTAGTCCGACTATTAATAGTCTCATCGAGCTCTTCTACACCCACAACCGATTGTCTGCCAATCTCGGTTTCACCTGCACATCCGTGTGTACTATTAATAGTCTCATCGAGCTCTTCTACACCCACAACCGATTGTCTGCCAATCTCGGTTTCACCTGCACATCCGTGTTTACTGTGTTTTCACTCGGTATATAATCATACGTCCTCAGAAACTTGAATACGAATTGTACCTAAATAGACACTCCTGAGATACCAACCACACTGCGAGTGAGCATCTGAGAGTCTGCCTTAGCTGATCATACTATTCATGAGTACACCAGAGTATACAAAGCACTTTGCCATCAACTCCTTCAAGCTGATTACAAAAAAAAACGCCGGTTTTGCCTCGAGGTCACGGCGAGGGACGGATAGCGCGCCAATTGATGGGATGCTCGGAGTCTGAATTTGAATTCACTCTGAACTCCTTGACTTGGCGTCTGGACTCTGGACGGCCGGCGACTTGGTGACGAGACCGAGTTGGCGAGCGACTTGGCGACTTGGCGTCTGGCGCGTGGCGACTCTTCTTGGGACTTGGCGAGGCGAGCGACAAAATGTCAAAACGCGAATAATCAATAAACCTTGATTTTCTCATATTTTGGTATCTGTGGCGGAGTAATTTTTAATTGGTGTAAATAAGATTGTTATAGTAGCAGCCAGAAAACCTTTTTTCGTATATATATATTTATAATATAATGTATATAAAAACAATACAAAACGCGTAAATCGCTCCCTTATGAAAAGTTGACACAAGATTGTAAACCGATAAAGTTTATGCGACTTTTCAAGAAATACTTAAAAAACCAAGTTGGGGACACAAACCCAAATTGAAAGTACGAATAACCAAATCAAGAGTACAAAACCAAATTAGGAGTAAGAAAAACTTGTTATTTTAAAATCGAAATACTTCAAACTACAGATTTAAATATTATAGAGTTGTCGAATATATGTTGTTACACAGATCTGTGCTCTCTTTATTGTTGTTGTTGGTGATGGGCTGATGGCTGTTGCCGGGTATTGATTATATTATTTATATATAAATACATATAAATAATAATATATATGCAAGACCCGTCGTATCCTCGGGTGATATTCCTGTTCCTTCTGCATCACGAGAGAGTGTACAACGGAGAGCAACGATTATGTCGTAAGTCTTTACGTACGATGTATATACAAATCTGACGATTCTATATTAGATTTTGCGGCGAAAAAATAATATAAACAACTACATACCAGTGTACGATGTACACACTGGTACGCACTGGTATCTTACATGTCGAAGTCGTTGTCGAAATCGTTATACTTACATGTACGTTTATATCACAGGTACGTTTAAACCATGTGTACGTTTAAACCATGTGTACGTTTGCCTCACATTTTCCTAAACATCATATATACGTTTACATCTCATGTACGTAATCATATAGGTCCTATGTTACGTGAACATACATGTGATGTATACGTACGTTGGATGTAAACAAACTCAACAAAAAGCGTATATAAATTCTTATATCAAGAGAAAATACACTGTAATCACAAGTTTATACCGCATAGTCCATTCGTCTAGTCATACATGTCTTCAGGATACGTAAATATTTCATCGGTGCACAAATATCACATTGTTTGCTTGTATGTACTCTTAGGGGCGCGGGCAAGCTAGCATGAGGGGATACACACGATATAAGTACGGAGGAATACATGAAAAATATAACACAGAGTGACGTACTCACACATGTACACAAACATATCTGCACAAACACCATACGTACGTACGTGTGCAACTACTCGTACAAACACCCTTTACATAGGTACATCGATACATAAATACATACACACACACATACATACATACATACATATGTACATACATACATACATACATACATACATACATATTTACATATTTACATACATACATACATACATATGTCAATGCATACATACATACATAAATACATACATACATACATACATACATATATACATACATACATACATACATACATACATTCATACATATACATATATACATACATACATACATACATACATACTTACGTACATACATATATACATACATACATACATACACACATACATACATACATACGTACATACATACATACATACATACATACATAAATACATACATACATACATACACACACACATACACACATACACACACACATACATACATACAAAATACATACATACATACATACTTACATACATACATGCATATATTCATATATACGTACATGCATACATACATACATACATCCATACATAAATACAGACACACATACATACATACATACATACATGCATGCGTGCGTGCATGTATGCATTCATACATACGTACAAACATACTTATATACATACATACATACATATATACATATATATGGATATACACACATATATACACGTGCACAAACACACACACGCACAACACACACACACATACATACATACATACATACATACACGAACACACACACACACACACGTATATATATATATATATATATATATATATATATATACTAGTATACTATATATATATATATAT